CCTCTCATCTGGCACTTCTTCCTTCTCACCATCATGCATCTCGAACTCATAAGCTTTGAGATCAGAGATTAGCTTCTCTGTAGGGTAGGTTTTGATGTCCTTGCTCTCTTGGACAGCAATGACCTTCATCTTCCAGAGTGAGGGTAGTCCTCTGAGAATCTTCAAATTGACTTCTTTGATAGTGAGCTCCTTCCCAAGCTCAGAAATCTCACTGATGAGGATCAGCAGTCTCTCATGCATTTTGGCAATGCATTCTTCTGGCAGAAGTTTGAAGTCATCAAACTTCTTCATTGCAATGGTTAGCTTGTTATCTCTTTCTTGTTCATCACCAGCACCTATCTCATCAAGCTTGTCCCAGATTTCCTTAGCAGTCCTGCACTTCTTTATTCTATTGAAATATCTTTCATCAATAGCTTTGTAGAGAATGTCCTTGGCAATGTTGTCAAGGTTGTACTGTCTTTTCTCTTCCTTGGTCCACTCAGACCTGGTCTTCTCAATCATCTGAGGCAGATTGTTGTCTAAGGTATGGGCAGGGTTGACCTTCATGAATTGGATAAAAGGTCCATTCTCCAAGACTTCCCACATTTCATCATGCAGGGCACAGAGATGAGCTTTCATCCGAATCTTCCAGTCATCATATTTCTGATCTGTGAACATTAGGTGCTTGGCAAGAGAGTTATCCATAATAACAAATAAATAGAGGCTAAGAACAAGTGGATCTTTTGTTCAGAGAATAACCTAAAAGATTACAAGAACAAGGAGGCTCTGATACCACTTGTTGGTCCCGATTATATGGTGATCAGTCTAGAGGGGGGGGGGGGGGGTGAATAGACTGATTAGTTTTTCAAAATTTTTCTCTAAGTCTAAACTGACTTATCAGAGAAGGTCTGATTCTGGTGACAGAGGAAGGCTGGTTCTGATATCAGAACTGGCCTTGGCAGCGGATTCTGATCTGTCCGGGTGGCCTCAGAAACACTAAGGCAAATGCCTTTCTGATAACTCTGAAAACAAGATCTGCTGAACACAGATTCCAAGTCTTAGAGTTAATCAGTTAATGTCCTAAGTACAGAAATATAAATTGCAGTAAAGTAAGTGACACCGGATATTTTTATAGTGGTTCAAGGAACAACTCGTTCCTCTAGTCCACTGTTCCACTAGTTTTGAAGTAGATCGGTTACAAAGCTAATCCCTAGCACTTAAGAAGCACTCCTCGTCTTCTTCAAGTCTAGATGCCACCCAGGATGCAATTCCACGTCCTGATGGCTGATCCTTTCACTCAGCTTCCCGGAAGTATCACCACTTCACTACTGCAGTTACTTGGACGCCCTTCTTTTCAGAAGATCCTTTGAAAAACACAAAGTCTTTCCTCCAACTTGCTTCGTCACAAATGATGTTTGATGAAGTTCTTGAAGAGTTGAAGAACAGGATGAACTTCGCTCGTTGTTGGGGATGAAAGATTTGGAGTTTGAATCTTCCCAACGTAGGACTTTTCTTGTAGTGTTATGAAGTTTGAATCTCAAGAAGTATGCTCAGAGTAATGAATGGAGCAAAAGTTCTGCGAAGAGAGTTATTTTCCTGTTCTTCGGTGAGTAGCTTATATACTGAGGTTGTCTGCCCGTTGGAGGAGGAGACAACTGCATTAAATGCGCGTACTGTTGACTTGACCGCCGTTTTGGAAGGTTTCTATTTTTATAATATATCTTCCCGGATTCCTTGGTCAATCATTTGCAATCAATCCTTCAGCGTATCAGGCTCATTTAATGTGCATTAAATGCTTTCCATTCATGCACAGTCTTCTAGCCGTTGGATGTTTTTACCCGTTGGATTCATATCTGTTGGATGTTGCTTGAAATCTTCTAAGTGTTAGTCGGGCTCTGATCAGGCTCTTCTGATGTGTTGGATTCTGATGGCTTTCTGATGAGTTGAGTTCTGATGGCTTCCTGATCTCTGACTGAACTCTAACTCTGACTCTGATAGGTCCGCTGATGAGTACCTCTGATCTGTAACTCTCATCGGTTATCAGATGTCCAAATTTATCAGCAACTCTCATGGTGCAACTCTGATGGTCTTCTGATAAGAGAACTCTGATGGAGCAGTTCTCATAGAGTAAGTCTGGTCGAGCAATTCTGATGCACTTCTGATCTGATCCAAAACAGAGCAACTCTGATCGTCGACTACACTAATACTTACAATTGAGAATTCTATAAAATCTAATTGGGGGTATTCTAACTTTCTAATCCTATAGCATCATCAAAATCTAATTACATTTATTCCTTACACTTTACCTTGTGGCCAATGTACTCCTTGCAGAGAAGGCACTCCGTGGCTTTGGATGCTCATGGAAAGAATGAAGGTTGGAAATGCAAAGCTGGAGGAGATTGACATGCTTCATGAGGTAACCAAGCAAATCGGAGGACATTCAATTTGTGCATTAGGCGATGCTGCTGCCTGGCCAATTCAACGCCTTATCAGGCACTTCAGACTAGAGCTCGAAAGGAGGATCAGGGAGCGGGCAGATAGGGAGCTACCAAAAATTAATTGATAGCAAAGTTAAACTTACATATAACACATTGAATGGTTAAGTTTAATACGAAGTAAAAACTACAAATGAAAAGAATTCTTCATATCATAAGAACACCAAAAATCTCGAATGCAGAGAAGGAGAGATAAGAAATGTATATGAAACTGATGCAAATTACACCAGATTTGGGAGAACATTAAGTCTGCAAAAAAACTGATTTCCAATAGATTAAATAAAATCTTCATACAATATGTTTTTCAGTCAAATTCCATAAGAAATGTTGATACATATAACTAATTTTAAGGTTAATAACTATGAATTAGAGAGATGAGAGATAGAATTTTTTTGAGAGATACCTACTAGATGTCTCTAATTTAAGAGAGCGAAAACAGATAGAATGACCTTCTTTTTGAGAGACGTGAGAACCAAAGAGCTTGGGAGAATTAAGAACCGAGATTGTGTGTGACAGAGATGCAATAATTGGAAAAGGGAAATGAAAAATTAGTCATCGAGTAAGAAGAAAATCACACTTTTTTCCCAGACCGAACCAGACGAGGTGAGGGGTGCCGGGGAACACCTCCCTAATTTATTTAAATAGTTATGGGTAAATGCGTTGAAATTTGAAAGTACAAGAGAAATAGACCAAAAAGAAGAAGAAATACATTAGCTTTTGACTTCGTATGATGTGGTGTTTGATATCACGTTTCTGCCTTTTCTTCTTGTTACATGAGTAAATCCGTCAAATAGTTCCTCTTTATCTTGATGATTGTCTAAATGACCTGAAACTGAAAAGGTTAGTAAAAGACTGTCCGCAGAAATGGTTTCATCATCAGACAATAGTGTGGCAAGTGTAGTAACTGGATTCAAAAGTGTAGGATCAGAGAGAGTCTCATCATGTCCTGTTCGGTCCTCCGAGGAAACAATGGCATCTTCATTATAGGTAAACAAAGTAAAGAATGAACACCCACGGTTACCACCACGGGAGGGGTGCCATTGGGGGTTCATCCATTTGAAAATTAGGCTGCCGTTGGGCAGAAAATGTAGTCATCATAGCAGCAGGAGCTACTCTGTGGTCTGAGACCACTGAAATCGGAAAAGGGACACGTTCAACAAGTAGATTTTCAGAATCTAAACCAACATTAATTACTGGGACATCAACTTATATGGCATCATCTAAACCATCAACAATAACAGGGACAATGATCCCAGAAATGTTTCAAGCATCAAGCTTTTCCACAACAGCAGTTGTGGTGGCATCACAACAAGAAATGGCTTCAAATGTTTGGTTGGTAACCTGGGGATGGTCAACTCGAGCACAAACAGTATACTCCAAAGCAGCAGGGGCCTCAAACGGGGCTTCAAAAGGGGCCTTTAAAGTATGAGTAACACCAGAGTCGTGTATATCTGAAATACAATTTATCTTCATCTAAAATAAACCTCAAACGGGGCTTCAAAAGGGGACTTTAAATCACACCTTTTCATGAAGAACTACAATTCATCTTCATCTAAAATAAACCTAAAAAAGAAAGCATAGAACACTAGAACCGAAAAGGATAGTGAAACCAAAGGAGAAGTAAAAAAGAATGAAGGGGAGCAAGCCAGATAAAATAAATGCCTGAACTCCCGTCCTTTGGCAAAATGCATCAGAAATTCAGCACTAGTAAGTAAACACATACCAACTCCCGTTTCTCACTCGCAACCTCTTCTCGCGCCTCCTTCTCCCAATTGGAATCAGGTCGTTTCTTCTTAGCCAGTTTCTTCTTCTTTCTCTTCTCTTTAACCGCCTCCATCCCCAAAACTGAAACCGATTCTTTCTCCTCCGACACATAACTGTCTCCGCCTCCATATGTTTCCCATTTCGGCGAGATGGACGGCACAATGTCGATAAGTAGAGGGTGTGTCACCCGAGTCGGGTCCCTTATTCCCTCCTGGCCGGGATTCGTACCCACATCAGGCTCTTCGCAAATGACCCAATCGTTTCTTTATGGAACGATTACATCACGAAGGGCATACCTCCGAGATCTCAACAGACACCGTTTCTTGGACACAGGTCGAGCTTCTCACCATCGGAAGAAGCATCTGGACACTAGGTCTACCTCTCAAACTTTTTGTTCTTATATTGTTTGGACATGGCATATATTCCTTTTTGGATTTAAAGAAAAAGGTCCTGCGAACGAAGCTTAAAGTACTAATTGAAGTTAATTTATCAGGGTTCTAGGATGGAAGAGGAAGATGATGAGTTGGATAGATGCGAACGAAGGAGACGCTGTTGGCTAGGGTTCTACGGAGCGATGGAGGGCTAAGTGCAATCGGGGGAGAGTGCTGAACTGCTGATGATGTTTGGTGGAAGAGCAATCAGCTAATTTTAATTTAGGAGAGAAAAGAAAATAAATACCAGTGTTAAAATTTGACTCACAAAAATAATAAAAGTAAAAAAAATGTTTGGGTTAGTGTCACTATAAAATATTGACTTAATTGTGTCACAAAGTAGTGTCATTATACGTTTTAAAAAACATATGTCGTGTATTAGTGACACTTTTTCATAAAGTGTCACTACACAAGTGTCACTGTAAGACAGTTTTCTAGTAGTGTGAGATGATCAAATCTGCCCGTGTGCCACCTTCATTCTTTAAGGGGTTGCTAACGTCCCCAACTTCCTTAACAACACCATCTTCATGGGCGGTAAAATCTGCGGTCGGAGATAACTGCCTGTATGCCACCCCATGACCATCTGCAGCGGCACCTTCTTCATGTACACTCGTGCTCTTCAAAGGAACATCTGCAGCGGGACCCTGACCTTCACCTTGACCGGCATCAGCATGGATAACCTCGGCATCTTCACCGTCACTAGTTTGTACTATGTTCTCACCCTCCGCCTCAACCGCAGCCTCGTCCTGAACAATCACGTCATCATTATCAACCTTATCAACCTACAATAGATGTAGTTGACAGTGTTAGTCGCATAGTTAATGAAAAGGGCCCGCAAATGACACACACAAAGTAAGTTACATCATACCTCTTCTTGAACAGATGGATTCTGATTACCAATCAGCTTCTGAAGTAGTACCTTAATTTCTGAAATACTATCTTCAACGATAGTAATCTTCTTTTCCACCTTTTCAACACATACCCGCAGGTTCTGCATCTCCTCCAATATTTTCAGTTTTCCAAAAACTTGAACGTCTTCCTCGTTTGTTTCATCTTCTTCCTCTCCCTCCTCTGAATCAGAAACCTTTTCCTCCTCCTAGGCTTAATAAAAATTAGTAAAATTTAGGGTATTTTAAATTAACTTAATCAATGCAACATACCTCTGGAAAGACCAATCTTCTAAGCTTGGAGTAATGAAATTTCGGTACAGCCGTCCAATTAAGCAAAGGCACGTCATGATTACCCACTTTGTTTGCAAAGTGCGTACCAACTTCAGGAATTTCTTCGTACGCCCACACCTATACAAATAAGAATAAACAGGAAATACATTTGTGCTTCACATAAATGAAAACGTGTATAAAATAAATTTAAAACGGTATATGAAAACTGTAAGAAAATTATAAACACGTATAGGAAAATTAGTGTAAAAAGTTATATGAAAACTGTATATAAGATTAGTTAAGTTTATATGAAAAGGGTATAGGAAAATTATATACACAGTTTTCAAATAACATATTAGAAATTAAGATCCATATGATATTATTACTACAAAATTATAAACATAGTTTTCAAAAGCGAATAGGAAAATTATAATCACTTTAAATGATAGTGAATTAAAATAGTTCCAATTCAAACAGTTTGAAATAGTGATATATACGTAAACAGTAAGTACAATTGGGAAGTTGACATATATACCTGCAAAACTAGTGGAAACCCGTAAACAGATAACTTTGCATTCTTATACTTAGGATTCTTCTTCTTCCGCTCCTGGAACTTATCAGGTTGGTCTTGCATCAGATCCTTCATGTGTTTCACCAATATCTTGTAAGATTGAAGTGACCACGGACACTTCCCGAATGCCTCTAAATCGTTGGCCAATCTGACTGATGATGCATTGATCCTCGTAGTGTTGTCCTTGGCAAGCAAAACACACTCAATATAGAACAACGAGGCCAACTTCACAGCATCATCACCGCGTTTGGATGGCTTCAGTTTTGTAAAGATATTCTTCATATTGGCGTGGGTTATGTTATCTTTGCCACCGAAATACTTCTCCGCAAGGGCCCCTACTGGTTCATCTTCTTGGCCAGATTGTTGTCCAGAATCATCTCCACAATCTTCATCCTCTGGTGCGGCAAGGTCTGCTTCAGCAGCTTCTGGTTCGTCATGTATTGGTAATTCACTTATGTAGCTAAAATCTGCATAAGTGAACTTATACAGTGTACCCCCAATGCCAAACCACAGCTCATTATCCGGTTGGTCCTGCACTATGTGTAAGGCCAGCATGTGCAAGATTTGGCCAGAGTTGTCTGTTTGTGGGATGTCAATGAGATGGCCCCAAGGTAATTCACGAAACCTATCCTTTTGTGTTGGAGATAACCTGTCTTTTACCCACTTCGCTGCAATTCTGAAGGCTGAACAGACGGAATACTGCGCGGGGAAATAATCATGACTTGGAATGCGTAGCTTCAGGGCCCTGGCAGTTGGACAAACAGAAATTAACTTATGCCAGACAGACAAAAACAGACCTTCATAGACCAAAAGATTACCCCAACACAATAAATAACACTCCTATTTTGATTCATACACAATAAAACACACAGACAACTTCTAAACGTTTACAAAGGAACTAGACTATATAATACAGACACAATTTGATTCACAGACAATAAATAACACTTCAAATGAACTTCACAACACCACATAGACACCTATATCATGCACAGACACTAATCAACACCAAATCAACTTTGCACCACCACACAGACAACTTATAAACATGAACAAAGTAATTAGACTATTTCATAGACACAATGTCATGCACAGACAACAATTAACACCCAATGAAGATTTCACCACCACACACACACCTTATGAACATCAACAAAGGAAGCATACCAATTCATATATAAATGTTGATTCACACACAATACTTCACATATTCAGTCTTAAAATGTTCGAACCAGAAGTATACCACAAATAAATGGTGATTCACACACAATACTTCACATATTTCACAAATTCACCTTATTCGGATACTTCACATACACACAGCCCCATGTTCAAACTTTGCCAAAAACCCAACAAATCCAAAAAATTTAAAAAAAATTACCCTAAAAATAAACAAAAATTGGGAAATGATACATACCCGTCCGCCATCTCCACTGGTGTGCGTCGCCGTCTTAAAGTTGAAGAAAGGGCTCGTCGCTTCTTAACCCTCAAATCGCCCACACTTCGAGAAGCCCCGCTTCGAATCAACACAGATGAAGAACAGCTTCGAAGAGGAGAGTGGTCGCGGGGATGCCGGTTATCACCTCTAAACCAGACTGCTCGTGCGGATGTGGGAGAGAAGTATGGGGGAGAGGAGTTTCGATTTGGGTGAGAAGGACAGCGGGTGTTTTGATTTTCAAGAAAGGGGGGAGCGAGTCATTGGCGGGTGAGGTGAGGGGAAAAGAGGGGGGTAATTTTTTGGGGGTATTTGTAGTGTGTATAGGGTGGGTACATTGGGTGGGTACAAAGAGCAAATTTGTTTTACCAAACACTACCAACTTTTATTACTAATCACTTTTTCCCCAAAAGTGCTTTTATTTAAGCAGAAGTGGTTGCAAACAAAGCCTTAAAATAAGAAACTTAGAATGTTCTTATTCCCACATTTTAAGCCCAGCCCGTTTGATAATCTTGTGTTTCGGTTTATCAGGGCCAACTTCTTCGCCACGTAACTTTAGAATTCCATGCGCTAAATTTGTAATAATAAGAAAACATAATATTGGAATTATGTTTCTGTGATGGTTGAAATTACTGTATGCGATCATTTTAATTAACTACTTTTTCATATAATGTTTTCTTTATTTTATTAATAAGAAATATTTAAATATAACTTTTTCATAAATCAGCAGAAATACCCATTTCAATCAGAACTTCGTAAATTTCGGCTGATTCAGTCAATTTCAGTGTTAACAAACGGCTCTTAGTTATCAATTTTGATTCTAGTGTGAAATAAGAAAAATAAAAAAGGTGAAATTCATACTAATAATCTATACTTTGAGCTGTTCTACAATAATAATCCATACTCAACAAATTGATATAAATAGAGAAAATGTGCAAATAAGCCCATGTACTAACCAAAAAAGGTCAAATAAGCCCTTATTTAGGAGGCTCTGTCCTACCTTCTCCATTTGGGGTGGTTCCCGGTGGAATTTTTTGATGAATTTTTTTGAGCATCTTATTCATTAAGTGTAGTTTACTCATGCCAAGTTTCATCAAAAAATTCAATGGGGAAGACATTCAAATGAATTCTCGAAGATAACTGCGCTTTTAACTGCGCAGTTATCTTTGAGAATTCATTTGAATGCTTTCCCGATTGAAGTTTTTGCTAAAATTTGGTATGAGTAAACTAGACTTAATGAATAAGATGCTCAAAAAATTTCATCAAAAAATTCCACCGGGAACCACCCCAAATGGCGACGTCCGGACAGAACCTCCTAAATAAGGGCTTATTTGACCTTTTTTTGTTAGTACATGGGCCTATTTTCACCTTTTTCCATATAAATAATACATACTCTTGAACACATTCACATAAATAGATAAATGAAACGGAAGTAATAATTCCGTTTGATATTCTCTCATCCCATGTATCCACCTACTATTTCTACTATTTCTCTGCTTCTGCATATAGCCGTATGCGGTATTACCCATCTTCCTCACTAGTCATACTCCTTTTTTTTTTTCAATTTTTCCATATCAACCAAATACTTAATTCATTTGATATCATTTTATAATTATTTCAGCAATTCACTCCCTATTTTAATGATTTAACATATGGATTTGATTAGCCGAACTGTTGTCTTTACATATGGCAGTAGGCTCGTATTCCACTATTCCTCTTCTTCTCTTTAACCTTTCTCATGTGGTCGTACTCATCTTCTCTTTTGTGGATATTAAAGTGTATGATTGGAAAAAAATCCCTAATTTTAAGGTGAAGAACATCTAAATACCAGTTCCCAAAACTAAAATTGAAGCCCCAATATCCTCGATCAAATTTTTTATGTTCGTGGAAAAGTAAAAAAAATAGGTGGAGTAAAAAAGCTCAACAAATTGAAGATAGAAAAGTAAAAAAAAAAAATAGGTGGAGTAAAGCACAAAATCAAGCGCTCATGGAAGATGGATAAAATTTGTTGAAAGAGGGAAAAAAGTTATAGTGAGTGGCTGGGATGAGTATACGCAGAAGAAGAAAGGTAAGGCCGTAAGGGGGTGTGCACTATGATGAAGGAATATCAAACGACCGTTACCTCCGTTTCATTTAGAGCCCGTTTGGTAGCACCACAATCGGCTGTTTTGGCTGATTCTGCTGAAATTTATGATATTCTGGCTGGAGTGGCTGTTTTGGCTGATTCTGCTGATTTAAGAAAAAAATATTTTAAAAATATATTTTATTAATAAATTAAAGAAAAAATTATATGTAAAAATAGCTAAAATGGTCCTCTACAGTAACTTCAGCCAATACAGCCAGAAAAGTAACTCTAACCTTACTTTTTCGGCTTATTACACAATTCAGCGCGCGAAAGTAAAAGTTACGTGTTTGGTGAAAAAGCTGGCTGATAAGCCTGATAAGCCGAAAACAGAGTTCTCCAAACGGGCTCTTAATGTGTTTATGTGAACCCATTTACAAGTTTGGATTATTCCTATGAATTTCTTGGGTAGGGAGTATTAGCGTAGAAACCTTAAAAGTACAGATTATTGGTATGAATTTCACCAAATAAAAATTATATCGTTGACGTTTGTGCAGAGATAAGATAAATAAGCTGTTATATGATTCTATACAAAGTACTATTGTAGTGAAAAGTAACAAAGTTTTTAGATACATGACAATGTGAAATTCACAAAGTCCAATGGGACGATATCAAGTAAATCATTACTTCCAAATTAACCATGTTTTGATAATATTGCTAAAGGAGTAAAGACAGTGTACTTTGGGGGACAGTGAGTACTTATAGATACCTTATTAATTGTCCATCTTTTTCCATTACAGTTAACCCTCCTCCTACCCCTACTGCCCCAGAGATAAAAGGAAATAATGGTGGCATTATGTCAAGCATAGCTGAAGGTAAATTGAACCAATATGATACTATATCTTTTAGTTATATAGTTGATGGGGAAAAGGTACAATTTTGCTCCTTAGTATTAATGTATACTTTTCCTATACCATGCAAATTACACAGGCATGGGTTTTGGTACTGGAAACGCCTTTGCCCACCGGATGGTAGATGCTGTTTTTGGCCCACGTATTGTTAAACACGAAAATGATGTTACATCTGCCTCACCACCACCAACATCCACCATTGACTCACAAGTTTGCAGTGTTCAAACTCAGACTTTCCATGATGTAAGTTGACTTCGAGTTCTCTACTTCATCAATACAAATATTGTCCCACCCATATTGAATACGATAGTATTATAATATAAATTGCTCGATTTAGAACCAAATGACGCACAAGATCTTAAAATAAGATCAATTATATTTTCTTTCCTCTAGGACGGACTACTACAAACTCCTTCCGTCCTTTAATCAAAGTCACGGTTTGACTTCACACATATTAAGGAAAAAAAATTACTGAGCTGGGTAAACTTTACTATAGAGTACATTAATTTGACACCGGTTTGCACTGTTTTGTACCGTTTTGATATAAATTTGTTTACTAAATAAGGAAATCTGACATTATTTAGGGACATCCATGAAAGTTTGACTTTGGGGAATTAGGGACATATAGAGTATTATATTTAAAGAAGATTTACCCAAGTAGAACCAAAACGTACAATGCCATTTTCTCAAAATGGGATCTAATGTTTAAAATTTCATTAACACTCTTATTTTGGAAAGAACATAAGGCCTATTTACTAACAGAGATATTTTCCTGTTTTCTACTTCTGTTTTTCGTTCTCCAATTTTCTGTTTTTATTTTTTCAGTTTTTCTATCTCCAATTTTCTGTTTGTTTCTATTTTTTAGATTTTCATTTTCAAATCTGAAAACATGTTCATCAATTTTTTCACAGTTCTCCAATTTCACACCCTTGACCCCTACCCCTACTCTTACCATGATCTTACACTCTACGTGGGGTAAGGGGTATGGTCGAGGTGAGGTGGTAAGGTCTAGGGGTAGGGCGTGGGGGGTAGTGGGTGGGTTAGGGTCATGGTTAGGGGTAAGGGTGGGTAGTGTGTAGGGTTGGGGTAAGGTAGGGGTAGGGTAGGGAGTTGGGATAGGATGGCAGTATGGTGGGGCCGGGACCAGGGTGGGGCTGAGGTAGGGAAGGGGTGGGGGTAGGATGGCGGTTAAGGGTGGGGGGTAGGGTTGGGTTTGGGGTAAGGTAGGGGTAGGGTATGGAGTTGGGATAGGATGACGGGAGGGTGGGGCCGGGGACCAGGGTGGTGCCGAGGTAGGGAAGGGGTAGGGTGGGGGGTAGGATGGAGGTTAAGGGTGGGGGTAGTGGGTAGGGTTGGGGTAGGGGTAAGGTAGGGGTAGGGAGTTAGGATAAGATGGCGGTAGGGTGGGCCCGGGATCAGGGTTGGGCCGAGGTAGGGGAAGGGTAGGGTGTGGGGTAGGATGGCGGTGGGGTGGGGCTGAGGTAGGGGGCATGTGGTAAAGGGTAATATACGGGGGGTGGGGGTAGGGTAGAGTAGGTCGGGGTGGGGTCGAGGTGGTAGGGGGGTGGCAGTAGGGTAGGGTGGATCGGGGTGAGGCCGAGGTAGGGGCATGTGGTAGGGGGTGGGGTAGGGTCATTATAGGGAAAAATGGGTATGCGGGGTGGGGTTGGGTGGGTAGGGTAGGGGGGTAGGGTAGGGGTAAGGGGTAAGGTACGAGGATGGAGGTACCGGAATGAAATCGACATCAGAGCGGGACCGGACCCACCACTAGGTGTAAGTATGAAAATTCATTACAGCGGCACTGTAGTATCTGCGTTTTCCAAATTTGGAAAACTAGTAAAAGTCACTAAGGAAAATAGAGACATGTCTCATTTTTTCAGTTTTGGAAAACGATTTAGTAAATGCGTTTTTCTTTTTTCCTTTCTCCAGTTTTCAAGCAATTTCTTTGGTAAACACGTTTCCTGTTTTCTGTTTTCCTGTTTTCTGGAAAACTGAAAAATATCTCTATTAGTAAACAGGCCCATAGTATTCCTATTTTGGAATTCCAAACCTGTTTACTCATAAGGGGTCAAATAAGTCCTTATATAGAAAATTCTGTCCGGACGTGTCATTTGAGGCGGTTCCCGGTGGAATTTTTTGATGACTTATTTGAGCATCTTATTCATCAAGTTTAGTTTACTCATACCAAATTTCAGCTAAAAATTCAATCGGGAAGACATTCAAATTAATTCTTGAAGATAATTGCGCTTTTAACTGCACAGTTATCTTCAAGAATTCATTTGAATGCCTTCCTGATTGAATTTTTATCTGAAATTTGGTATGAGTGAACTAGACTTAATGAATAAGATGCTCAAAAATTTTCATCAAAAAATTCCACTGGGAACCGCCCCAAATGGCGACGGTCGGAAAGAACCTCCTATATAAGGACTTATTTGACTCCTTTTATGCAACTTCGATGACCAAACTGACTCTTTACTCATTTTATTATAGCATTGGAAAATAAGTACGGAGTAGATTTTTAGTAAGAAGAATAAAATAAGAATTGTTTGTAGGGTTATTTGGGGAAAATGAAACATAATTACTGTCACTTTTGGACAGCCCAAAAGAGTAAGATGTGACTTCTATTTTGAGATAGAGGTTATATTTGGTAATATTTTGGATTGGATTCTCGGTTCCTGTATGTCTTCACATTTTTGTATTTTTGATCCCTAATTCTGGCACTGTTTATTACATATCTAGATTAAAAAACACAAAAAATACATTTTGAAACTCTTTACTACACCAGTATAAGTATCATCGTAAATGATAAAGGTCAGAGATAAAAATCATTAACAAATATTTTTATGATGAATCATGAAATGCATAAATATACTAGCTGTTATTTTGCTGAAGCCTGTATTGTGATGAATCATTGCAGTGCCTAAACAGCAATGGAGATGATATTAGCAAATGCCAGGTCTACATGAACATGTCCGAGTGCAAACGGAACTCTATGCTGAATGCCTAAGTGCGCGGTTTTCTGCCTAAATAAACTTATTACATGCTTCACTTCCTTTATGATTTTTGAAAATTACTTTAATATAATTTCCCTAATCAAATAAAGAGATGGAAACTTTGCTATTTATCCGAACCATTGGGTACAATAAATTTATTCGCAGGCGGCTTAGATATTTCACACATTATGAATTCAGTCCCAAGTTAGTACGAAAAATAGATATCAATTATATTACGGAGTATTAATTTGAAAGTTACACCCGATCATACTTAAATAGATTAGGAATAACACTTTAATTTGAAACAAAGTTTATATATGTTCAGACTCGGTGTTCCATCCTAAAATGTCAACCTCATGGGAGGAGTCGCCAAAACCTTAACTACGTACGTAGTAGCGTTTAATTGTTTTATAACTTTCCGGTTTGGGACAAATAATGCTTTAACAATATATGTAATATGTGTATATAATATTATTCTACTAAAAATGAAAAATGAAAATTAATGTTTATTGTTGATGGAAACAAATGGATATGAGAACTATAATGACAAAATTATGTTGTACGAGGATATACAAAAGTGTAAACAATAAATAATAAAGAAAAGTGCATTAGAATCTGAATGGAAATGTGCATGAGTTTGAAATATGGTTGCTGTTTTTAACACTTATTAACGCACTCTCATGTATCCATGCCACGATGATTACACTTCTGGGCCTGTTATGGCGTAGAACGATAAAACGTTCTACACTTCTAAACACTTATAAAACGTAGTATAATATTTTTCATGTGAATACTGTTTTTCTAATATGATATTTATTGTTTTTTATATTACGTAGTATTATATTATTTTTGTTATTGTAGATAAAAATCTAATTGTCGCCCAAGATTCCCTTCAATTTTTTCTAATATTTTACACCTATTACGTTTCATATTAGACGATAATCTATTCTGATATTCCTAATTAGCTTATTTAATTGGTTCATTAAATACGTACACGGTAAATTTAGATATGAGGTGACCTAAATCAATTAACGGATCCTACTAGTTTGTAAATACGTGGTATATACAAAGTATATATTACACTACCTCCGTTCTTAAATAAGTGCAACATTACAAATTTTACACTATTCACATGTTCTACTTTGACTACATTTTATTTATTGATGTATTAATATATATTTTTGAAAAAAAATATTACTAAATTTGCCTCATTATAAATTTTCAAAATCTGATTTTTTTAATTTTTTTACTAATAGAGAGTTATATATATTAATGGTCAAAGTTGTGCCTCGGCAAATGTGAAATGTTGACTGTTGCACTTATTTAAGAACGGGGGTAGTGTTGAGAACTATGAAACTGGGTTGGGCTGCCGAAGCAAGAGAAGACGACAGCCCAACATTCTTTTGAGAGATTACGTGCCTTAGTCGGCTATTGCTACTGTTATTTTTATCAGCTTTAGATTATCTTTATTATTATTATTACTACTCCTTTGTCTTGGCAGAAGCTACGTGATGCAGTTAGCTTAGGATTAGAACTCTTGCTTCCTATTAGTTCTAGGACAGCAACCTTATTTATATATCTTCTCAGTTCATTAATAAAATTATGCAGTTTATTCCTATCATTGATTTGGGTCTTCTATCACCGTGAGATAGACTTGGTCTCCTTACACCGTGAGTAAGGAATCTGTCAAGCAGGATCAATCCCTGCAATTGGTATCAGAGACTCTTTCCTTGGAGTGTGGCTAATCAACCATGACCAATCGGGAGCGTCTGGAACAGTTGGAGAATTCTATCGCTCAAATTACTGCATCCCTCAACACGCTGTCTGCGAGCATGGAATCACTGAAGAAGCAAAAATCTGGGAAACGATCGTCATCATCGACCTCGTCCAAACGGTCTAAATCCCCAAAATATTCAGGGCGGCGAAAGCACCGAAAGGAGTCATCCTCCTCAGCCTCGTCCACAGAAGTATCATCTGACGGTGAGGAAGCTTCCAGCAATGCATCAGGTGAATCAGAATCCAGTACAGGTAGTTCTGATAAGGGTGGCAACCAGCGTGATCGGCTGCAAGATCGCATTCGAATTGATTTCCCTAAATTTTCTGGTGAAGAAGTGGTGGTTTGGCTGGACCGCGTGCGCCAATACTTCTCGGTCAAAGGTATCCAAGGCTCAAAAAAGGTCGTATTGGCGTCCTTCCACCTTGAGGGAGAAGCGAATCAATGGTGGCAGTGGTTTTCCAACCGCCAAAAGCACAAGAGGGTGTCCTGGAAAAGATTTGAAACTGGGATCTTGAGAAGATTTGGGCCGACTGATTTTGAAAACTATGATGAACTCCTGAGTAAGATCAAACAAAGTGGTTCTTATCGGGGGTATTTGCAGGAATTCGAAAGGCTGTCTTCACGAGTTCGAGGATGGACGCCTAAGGCTCTACTAGGAACTTTCCTTGGCGGCCTTAAAGAAGAATTATCATTAGATGTTCGTCTTTTCAACCCCCGAAAACTATCAGAAGCAATGGAATTAGCAAGGAGGGTTGATGAGAAACAACAACGCAAAAGACCGATTCCCTCAAACTTTAAACCACCCAACGGGCGGATAGCAATAACAGCAACACCTGGGCCTAGTAACATGAAAACAACGCCCACTCAGCCAGCACGGAAGCTAACTGTTGATGAGATGCGGGCTCGACGGGAGAAAAACTTATGTTACAATTGTGATGAAAAATTCATACCTGGACATCGATGCAAAGCATATCAGTTTGTAATTGAGGTAGAGGAAGGAGATGAGGCTAATATTGATACAGAAAACGATCAAGGTCCGCACCAGGAGGATGATCTCGAGAAGTCTCAAATTTCTTTACATGCCCTCGCTGGCAGTGCGGGTGCGAGTACTATGCGAGTAAAGGGGATTGTCAATAATCAATGTCTCAACATCCTAATAGATTCTGGCTCAACACACAATTTTATTAACCAAGGAGTGGCGGCACAATTGAAGTTGGTTGTAACAGAAATCACCCCATTTGCGGCCAAGGTGGCAAGCGGCCATCGTCTTTGGTGTTCAGAAAAATATGAACATGTGCAAATCACCATCCAGGGATACTCTTTTACCACCACCCTATACGCTTTACCTATAACCGGTATGGACGTGGTTTTAGGAATGCAATGGCTGCGTAGTTTGGGCAGAATATGGGCTGATTACAACACTATGACCATGGAGTTTCAGTCTGGAGAAACCACACACCAGATTAGAGCGGACAATCTGTCATCAACACAACAGGTGACCTCTTATGCTTTGCTTGAAGAGTGGCAGATGGGAGCTGAGTTATTTATCATCTCTGTGGAGACACAGAATGAAGAGGATAGTACCTTGAGATAGCCCTTTTCCGAAGATGTCCAAGGTATACTAAACCAGTTTGCTACGATCATGGAGGAGCCTAAAACGCTTCCACCTCGATGAAGGTTTGATCACCGAATACGATTAAAAGATGAGAATGTGACAGTCAATGTCGCCCCTTACCGATATGCGCACTTTCAGAAAGATGAAATAGAAAGGCAGGTCAATGAGATGTTACAGGTAGGCATCATTCAGCCCAGCATTAGTCCCTTTTCTTCTCCTGTTCTACTGGTAAAGAAAAAGGACGGCTCCTGGAGGTTTTGTACAGACTACAGGGCTCTTAATGACGCTACTATAAAGGACCGCTTTCCGATCCCGACCATAGATGACATGCTGGACGAACTATATGGATCTTCCTACTTCTCCAAATTAGACCTACGATCAGGCTACCATCAGATCCGAGTCCATCCTGATGACATACATAAAACCGCTTTCCGGACGCATAATGGACACTACGAGTATCTAGTCATGTCATTCGGGTTATGCAATGCACCATCAACCTTTCAAGCAGCAATGAATGAAGTCTTTCGACCACATTTACGGGTTTTTATTTTGGTTTTCTTCGACGACATCCTAGTGTACAGCAAAACAAGAGAAGAACACCTCAAGCACCTTGAGATTACCTTGAGCATCTTAGCACATCATCAATTTTACATCAAACCATCAAAATGCTTTTTTGCTCAAACCGAGGTTGAATACCTTGGACATTTCATCTCTAGAGCTGGGGTACGGGTGGACCCGCGGAAAATTGAAGCCATGGTTAAATGGCCGGTGCCAACAACTCTCACTGCCCTGCGTGGTTTTTTGGGTCTCACCGGGTACTATCGCAAATTTGTGAAGGGATATGGGCTCTTAGCGCAACCACTAACCCAACTATTAAAAAAGGGGAAGTTTTTCTGGAATGATAAGGCAGGCGACGCTTTTGAAGCGCTCAAAATGGCCGTTACCTCAACACCGGTGCTAGCGTTGCCAGACTTCTCGGCTGAATTTGTCATTGAGACCGATGCTTCAGGCTCTGGGGTGGGGGCAGTACTATCTCAACGTGGACATCCCATCGCATTTATGAGTAAAGCTTTAGGATCCACGAAGCAGGTTTGGTCAACATATGCTAAAGAGATGTTTGCTATATTGGAAGCGGTTAGGACATGGAGAACCTATCTTCTTGGACGACGTTTCACCATCTTTACTGACCAAAGAAGCCTACGCCACCTTCTGGAGCAGAGGATCACAACACCGGAGCAACAAAAATGGATATCCAAACTGCTGGGGTTTGACTATTCCATTACCTACAAGCCGGGGTCCACTAACAAAGATGCGGATGCACTGTCTCGCCGTGGGGAAACAACTCCAGAGCATGATGCAGCTACAACAGCAATTTCAGGACCATTGTGGGTTATATGGGATGATTTGCGCCGACTCACCAAAACCGACCCTAATTTGCAGAAAATATGCACTGATATTCATCAAAATCCAGCATCCCAGCCAAACTATAGCTTCCGAAACGGGGTTGTCCTTCACAAGGGACGAGTTGTGGTTCCAAAAAACAATGACATACGTGCCCAACTCCTTAAAGAATTTCATGATTCGCCGGGAGGAGGCCACTCTGGAATTTTGCGCACATTACGTCGGTTAAATCAAACATTTTTCTGGCAAGGAATGAAGGCAGATGTAACTCAGTATGTACGAAAGTGTGACACGTGCCAGCGCGCTAAGGCTGAATCGTTATCCCCTGCTGGCCTATTATCACCCCTGCCAATACCTACTGCAGTATGGGCGGATATTAGTATGGATTTTGTAGAAGGCCTCCCTCGCTCACACGGAAAAAATACAATATTTGTCG